AGTCTTAGGAAAGACCCAAATTTGGAAAATTACTTCCCTGTTTCCTTGTTTCTGTTTACTTATATTTTCTTAAAACTAGTTATCATTGGACTTTTCAAGTGCATTTTTATATAAGAAGTGGGGTTTTTTTGTAGACAATAATTGCACAAAACAATAAATTTCATCACGACATCTTCATATATGTGTATACTGTACATGCTCACACATTTTCACCAACAATCTCTCTTGTCCTCCTCCCAAATAGCCTCTCTTCCACTTTTATGCCTTAAAAATATTTAGATTCTGATTATGATATAAAACATGTGATCCTTACCTCTGTGCGTGCTTATCTGAGTCACTTTAAGGAAGTTATCTAACTGTCCTTTCTCTTATATCTTTTCCTTCTCTTGGTTGTGTGTGTGTGTGTGTGTGTGTGATCTGGGATCAGTGGAATCTGTTATTTGGCTGAGGATCAGGCATGGACATAAGAACAAGTTTGAGGTGAGGCAGTAGTCTGGGCTGCTTTGCGCTCGGTTTTTGTTTGCTTAAGCTGCCACCTGATGATGCTAACCAGTGGTCAAGGTCGAAAAGACCTTTGGGATCAAAACCAACAGATTTCTCTTAGCTGAGAGCATTATCGGCACTTTGGATGCTTTTGTTTTTTGTTGGGGGAGGCTGCCACAGGTACCGTCATTCCCAGCATCCCAGCCTCTACCCACTAGATGCCAAAGAATATGCATTTATCTGGGCATAGTGGTACATGCTTGTAATTCCAGCAGTTTGGAGGCTGCAGCAGAAGGGTTACTGTGAGTTGAAGTCAGCCTGGGCTACATAGTAAGTTCTAGAGGCCAGCTGGATTCCTGAATGTGACTCTGTATCAAAACAAAACTAAAAAAGCATGTAGATACTGCCAACAGTGGCCAGGAGAGACATGGAATCACCTCTAAGTGCAAGCCATTTCTTGGATAAACCAGGGGCAAGAAATGTACCTGTCATGGTACCTGTCAGGTACACAATCAAATTTTATAGATACCTTAAAAGATATTCCTCTTTTTTATTTTGGCATGATGGCTGAAAAATCCACAGAATTAGTATAATCAGGGAAAGGGTTTGGGATTTTGTTTTGTTTCGCTTTAAATCAATTAACTGTTTTGTCAAACTTGTTTCTGAAAGCAGAACATTTGGACAATGCAAGAATTAAGTCTTCCAACTGTAAAGAATCCAGAGTTGGTTTTCACCAATCTGTCTTAGAGCCAACAGGCTTGTTCCTAGGCAGGAGGAAGTACCAATGTGTGTGACTTAAGATGAGACTGTGTGTGTGTGTGTGTGTGTGTGTGTGTGTGTGTGTGTGTGTGCTGTTGCTGTTTGAGTGGCAGTAGATCATAGCCTCTATTCTTCGGAGTTCCCTGAGTTTTTTCCTCCTCCTTCCTCCCACCAAAACTGAAGTTAAAGAAAGATGAGGGAGCTTGATCATTAACTGGAACCATTGCCCAAAAGAAAGGGGAAAGGAGAGATGTTGGACATGTGAGGGTCCAGCATGTGCTTGCATGACCCTGTGTGGTTAGCCAGTAGAAGACATGGCTCCAGGTGCCAGGAAAGCCATGAGGTTTGCATGGTGGGAGTCTGAGCCCTGGCAGATCAGCTTCTTCCGCAATGCAAAACTTGTTACAGAGGTTTCGTCTGAAAGGCCATGTCTGAAATTGGACCATGTTTATTGAGCAAATACCTGCCCATCAGGGAAGCATAAGAATGGGTGGCTAGCCAGGCGCAGTGGCGCACGCCTGTAATCCCAGCACTCAGGGAGGCAGAGGCAGGCGGAGCTCTGTGAGTTCGAGGCTGGCCTGGTCTACAAAGAGAGTCCAGGATAGCCAAAGCTACATAGAGAAACTCTGTCTTGAAAAACCAAGAGAGAGAGAGTAGCTAATCTCTCAGTGCATATTTGATGAATGAACAAGTGAATCACTCTTTTCAATGAATGAACCTTTAAGAAAAAGAGAGATCTAACCCTGATATTCAGGGCAGTGCTAAAAGGATAGAGTCACCGCCTCTCTAGCCTCTGAGGTTTTAGCCCCATGATGGGTCTGTTCTGAATAGTTGGTAGATGGGCTCCTAGACATACCTGATCATTTGCTAGGCTAAAAAGGGCTAATCGCCAGTAGTGTGCATGGCTGCAGAGTCTCAACCCCTCAGCAGCACAAATGACCTGCACAGCATAGCAAGACCACAGCTTTGGGTTTGGCATCATTCCTGGAAATGCAGAACAGGCCTCTTTATTCCAGTCTCCAGGCTGTGAAGCATTTTATAGGATTGTAACTGGCTGTGCTGAAGAAGAGCTATGAAAGGTGGTCTGTGCTGTTGCTTTTAGGGAAGCTGCTGTTAGGGAGTGAGTGTTGTTCCTAAGCTGTGAACATGCACACAGAGGATGGGGAGCACTGCAGCTGCTCTGCTGGGGGGGCCTTGCCAAGCTGGTCTAGCTCCTTCAAAATCGGACAGTAGCCTGGCTCTGTGCTTGAGAGCCCTCTTCTAGGGCAGCCTGTTGGCTCACAGTCTTTGGGTATTCACACTCCTCCTTACAGTCCCAGTCAGATTTCCTAGTATGTTTTAAGAAAGGCAAAAAAATCTTAAGAGAAAATGAAATGTATATGGTGGGCTTCTTATTAATATATGGTTGTTATTTGCTGTACAATATTTAAACTTGAGGTTCCATATCCCTCCCCCATTTTACATGCACATGTGTGTGTGTGTGTGTGTGTGTGTTCCCATGTGTGGTAGTTGGTGGAGCGCAGAAGAGGCTATCTGATCCTCTGGAGCTGGGGTTGCAGGAGGTTGTGAGCTGCCTGATGTGGGTGCTTGAAGTTGAACCTGGATCCTGTAAAAGAGAAGCCGGTGCTTTTAATTGCTGAGCCATCTCTGCAGCCCTCCTTCCCCCTTTGCTAAGGGTCTATTTGTTATTATCATGCATTTTGGGTGGTCACACTGCTTGGTCGATCCTAAGAACATTGAAGAAAGCACCCAAATACCAGGGCTGTAGGAATCTGTGCTGTCAGTGTATTTGCCAACTGGAGAAAAGTTCCCTGGGGAAGCTCATTTCCAAATGAGCTGTTCATGCCCAGGGTCCTGTGGTTAGGATTGTGGGTGAGCAATAGAAGATCAAGGAAGGAAAGGGAAGAGAGGATGTGGGTGCTTTGGCTCTGGAACACGTCACTCCCTCCGGACCTGGCTTGGCTGGGCACCCTTGGAGATGGGGTTCCCTTACTCCTCCACTACATTTGGCTAAGCTTCCAGGGAATATGAATGTGTTCAGTGCAGCTCAGGCTGAAAAAAATCAAGTAGTGTGTGAGGATCATCTGGGGCAATCAGTAGTTCTAACATGCGTCTTCCCACTCTATGCCTCTTTTGCTGCAGCTTTCTTCCTGTTGCTTCAGGCTGCATACCTGTGAAGAAAACCACAGGCGCTTTCTCCTGTCTCTATTAGAACCCACTCACTTAGGAGCCCTATTTACACATCTGAGTCTTCCTGCACCCAAGGGCAGTTGGTCTGTCTGCCCTAGTCAGGCAAGACGAGGGGTGGGTTTAGTGCCAGGATGTGGATTTGGTTCCTGAGATGGAAGATCCACGTGTTAAGCAGTTTTCTGCCAGGTAAAGTAGGAACTGCTGGGTTCTGACCTCATCTGGAAGCAGAGAATGCCTAAATGTCTATATTTCTCCATCACACTCTCCCTCACATCCAAGAAGCAAAACAAGAGTCAATACCTCCTTGTAACAACGCCTGCTGTATCCATGTCTTCCACATAAAGATGGAAAGATACTGTAGTGATGTTTACAAGAAATGTAATTTGGAGGAAATGATAACTTTAAGAAAATTAATCTCTTCTTTCCCAAGTGAATATATTTTTCTTGTTAGAAAGAAAGAAAGAGAAAGAAAGAAAGAAAGAAAGAAAGAAAGAAAGAAAGAAAGAAAGAAAGAAAGAAAGAAAGAAAGAAAATCATTAGCTGTAACTATGAAGTCCCTTTGTTCACTAACTCTCACCCTTTTTATCCCAGATGTTCCTCCTTTGCCACCAGGGACAGTGGAAGCTTGCCTCAGATTGTTGTAGACATTCCATGTTGTTGACCTACAAGTCTATCTTTATAGAAAATATCATTAAAAGAAAGTACTCGTTTATAGGTGTGTTTTGGACACAGATGGTGTTGTATGGTTTGTTCTGCACTGTGATATTTTAGGTGCTAGGAATGGAACCCAGAGCCCCACCCTTGCTAACTAGTCTTCCCCAGAGCTGCGCTCCCAACCCTTTGCATTTGTATTCAAACTGCGGCCAATATAAAGAAGATGTTACCGTTCCACACCCACAGACCCATCTCCTCTCCGATCGTTACGGGGTGGTGCTTTACGGGGAGGAAAGTTAAGCGCTCTCCACTGAAGTGTGTTGCCATTGTTTCCAGTTTTGTTGGTTTTTCACTGACTTACAATGACAGTGTTTGCCCAGAAAAGATCCCAAAAGCGTGGTCTTCGCTTCAGAGTGGAAACAGACCGTATCAGTCTTGAGTGGGTGTAGTGGGGATGGCTGGAGGGGACTCCGTGCGTGGTGGAAAGTATTTGTCTCTGCCTGCGGAGGTTGGTTTCGAGCTGCTTTGAAATTATTCACAACTCAGTGAACTGCTGTTTGTACTGCTTTTGCCCCACCAATGTTCATTAAAACAAACAAACAAAAAGGACAGCCAGGAAGACCCCGTCCAAGAAAGAAGAAAAAAGAAATGTGTGGAGTCTGGCTTGGGGCTTGCCTCCTCGCTCCAGGCTGTTCTTCCACGGGTGGCGCTGTCTTGGGTCTGGCGCTTCGCGCACGTTCCCCGAGGCCGCCCAACTGGCAGAACCGCCCCAGCCCCGGAGGTGTCCGCAGTTCGCACCTGGCCCTCCTGGGGGCGGGGTGGGTTTCTAGCCCCGCCCGCCCGCCCGCCCTCGGTGGGCGTGACCTGAGGGGCCCCGCCCCCGCTGGAGCCGAGGCGTCGGGTCCACCCGGCTGGAAGCCGCTGGAGGAGTCCGCGTCGCCGCCGCCGGCACCGTGGAGCTCGGGTCCTCTTTCACACGGGATTTTTGCTGTCGCCTGGGGTCAGCGGTGACATCTCAAAGGGCAGGCCCGGCAGCCGCCATGGTGGCCAAGGATTACCCCTTCTACCTCACTGTCAAGAGGGCCAACTGCAGCCTGGAGGCGCCCCTGGGCAGCCGGGCGGCCAAGGACGAGGTAGGACGCGCCCTCCCCACGCCTGCACCCCGCGCTCTCCCTCTCCCCCGCGTGCTGCCTGTCCCCGATCGCCACTTCACTTCCCCTCACTCCTCCGCGGGTCCTCCATCCCGGGGTCTCGCCCTGCGCCCGAGAGCTGCAGCTCCTCGCCCGCCTCTCCTGCCCGAGCGTCGGGCGCACAGAACCCCAGCCTCGGCTACCGCTGACCTGTTAGATGGGTGTCAGGAAGGAGCCCGGCTCAAAGCAGCCCCACCCCTCCCCGGCCCGGGTCGGGGAGCCTAAGTTCTTGGGGACCGGCTCAGACATCTCACCAGACACTTTTGGTCTGTAACTGTTGGAGAGCCAGGGAACCTTTACTTGTCGCGAGTAACCAATAAATAGGTTGCGGGAGGGTGTCGCTCATGTGGGCACTTTTACGTGTCACATGTAACCAATAAAGGAGGTTTTGGGGGAGGGTGTCGTTCATTTTGGGTCTGAGGCTAAATGAGTAATTGAGGGTCTCCTTCATGACTGCTAAAAATGAGCTGCCTTGAAATAATGGAAGCGGTTTTCCCTCTGGGAAGTTTGTTGTGCCCTTGGGTAGTTGAGAGAGTCCTGTCCTCTCTCATCCCACATGTGTTCTGTCCCTGGCCAGTTGCTGAATGCCCTTAGAGGTTGTTTAGGTTCAGCTGGAGAAGCGATTCTCACTATTTTTCAGAGTTTCAGAGAAGGCAGTTGCCTTATCAGCTTTGCTGTGGTGGAGTCCGTAGGACCAGCTCATCATGTCTGAGTGTGTTCTCCGCTCTCTTCACCTCCCTCTGAGACCAACCGCCGGGCCGGCCGGGGGGGGGGGGGGGGGGGGGGGGGGGGACGAGGGGGAGGAGGACAAGGGTAGGGGGAGATGCTGGGAGCTAGAGGCAGGTGTGTAGGTGTGTGTCCGGGCTTATCCCAGCTCTCCACCAGGCTTGCTCACTGAATTATGTATAGGTGCATGTGTGGAGGAGTGGGGGGGGGGGGGGGGTATTAGAGATTCATTTCTTCCAACAAGAGCACGCACACACCCCCCAAACAGGACTCCAATAGGCTCTGGTTATAGCTCTTGTATGTTGAGTACAAGCTAAACTTCCTTCCCTAGCTCAGCTGAATATTTTTAGTTTTTAGTCTCAGCAGCTGTGGCAGTGTGGTGGGTTCTCATTTGTTTGGACAGGACCAACATGGAGTTGAGGATGTTACAGCCTGGAATGGGTATGAGTTTTCAGTAGCAGTGGGGCTGGTGACGCCTCAAACTCCTGGTAGGAGAAAAAGCATAATCGACTGGGATAAATAACTAAAATGGGCCGAAGAAAACAATAGTGAAAATAGCTGTGGATTCAGAGCACTGGTTTTTCTATCTCTTCATCCTGTGTTGTGGGGTACTTTGGTAAAGGCTTAGCTGAACTTGCCTGCTTAGTCTTTTCTTGTTAGTCATAGCCTGTAGATGCATGCTGTAATATTTCATGAACTATTTATGCTAATTTTTCATTACTAATTGGAATCACAAAATCAAATGTTTTATTTTTCCTTTGTGGGGATGTGCTTGAGTAAAAACAAGTATGGGAAGTGAGTGCTTTTGAGGAATAGTTGGTAAATATTTTTCAGGTTATCACTATGAGTTTTATTATTATAATTATTTTTAGCATAATAAAAGGACACTTTACACAGCTTGAAGCAGAGATGGATGCTTCCAACTTCATTGGTCAGGTATAAATCACTTCCTAATAATGGAGATAGGCAAAGTTGGAAAAAGAAACCTAAGTGGGTTGGGGGAGGTGTTTCCTTGTTTCTGTCAGCACAAAAGGCAGCTTCTGTATATCAGGCTTCTTTCAAGCTATGGACTGAAATATATTTTCTGCCAGTAGGTGTCGCCAGTATTTATAAATGTCAAAAAAAAAAAGCACTCACTTCCTGTCTTTTAAAAAGGGAGATTATATAATTGTTTAAAAAGTAGTTATTGATTGTTAGGTCTTACGAAAGTTTCTTTCTCAAGAGATTATTTTTCTTTGTGAAAAGGACAGTAATGAAAGGAAGGCCTGCCTGGCATGACAGGACCCGTTGACCTTCAGGCTGCCTGTGGCCGAGCTCCTGCTCTGGTGCAGTTGTGTGCAGGCAGTCCTGAGCCCGCTCTAGGGGGTCTGAGCGTGCAGCACCAGCCAGTGCCTTCTGGCACTCAGTCACCAGCCCCTTAACAGAAAGCTCAGGGGGAGCAGGCTTTGATGCTGTCCAGTTGCAGCGTACCGTGTCCCCGTATACAAATGACGTGAACAGTGCTCTTAAAAGCAAGAAATAAAATTTCTCTGCAGGATTTAATCTGAATGCTTCTTTTTTATTTCCAAGGTAGTTTCCAGTGGAAGCAAAAATGATACATGTTTAAATTTTTTTCTTTAAAAGATCCATTTTAAGCTTTTAAACACTATCTACATAGGTTAGCATAGTGCATATCTGATGTTTTGTGTCAACTAATAAAACTCTGCTTCTTACTCTGGCATTTCTTATGGGCATAGGGGCTGGGTTGCAGATGTTTAATTTTAATGCCTGTGATTAACTAGATTCTTTGGCTCTGATCATTACTGTGACATGTGAGGTACTTGGTACACAGCTCTGGATTTTCACAGAAAAAAAATGTCATATGACATGAGCAGTTTATTTCTTCTGAACATTAATGCAGCTTTGCTCAATTTATCTCTATTTTCATATTCATGAAAGTTTTGATCACTTCCTATCCTGGGAGGGAGTGTCTCTCTAGGAAGATAGGTGCTCTGAATACCCGCTCAGTTCACTAAAAGGGAAGCTGATCTCGATAATGAACCAGGCTGATTATCAGCCAAAAGTCTGTTTCCCTGTGGTGAGGTGTATTTTAACTAGAAGATTCAGTAGCCAGGTATGGTTAAGAAAGCTAGAGTGAGAACAGGCTTTTAAGAGTTGTAGGTCAACGTTACGTTTATGTGTGTGTATGTGTGTGTGTGTGCGTGCAAGTTCAGGCATGTAGAGGTTAGAGAACAGCTCTACTTCTCTCCAGTGTACAATCTGGGGGTTGGACTCAGGTTGTAAGGTTTGCACACCAAGTGCTTTTACCTGATAAGCCATCTCTCCAGCCTGCAGTTTCATTTTTAATTGTGTTATTTCTTTGTGTTAAATCTGGCAACCTGGTAGACTGCTCGCTCTGGGCGTAGATATTGTTGGCATCAGGCCTCATTTGGTTGGTGGTGTTTCTAGCCATTGCCTTTATCTCTTGGTGCTTATAAAAATTCCAGGACATAGATAATAGCTGTAGTCTGTGAGTAGTTGAAGATTACCCTGGGCTCCCAAAAGTATAGGTTTCAGTTTTTACTCATTCAGTAGCCTTGCGTAGTCCTCTGAATAATGGCCCACAGTAGATATAAAATGATAGCATTCTGCCCTCTTTCTGATTCTACCACGCCTAGGTCTCTCTTAAAATTCCCACCACGTTGTAGCTCATCACAAAACATGTATTGTTGTTCCAGCTTTGTGAAAAGGACACTGAGGAAAGAGAGGTGGCTTATTCAAAGAAGGTCCAGCCTGATCCAAGATTCAATACCAGATTTCCTGATGGATTAAGCCCAGTGTTCAGTACTTAAAACATCTAATGGAAAAAGAAAAACAAATGAAGGGAAATGCAAAACAGAAATCTAAAATGCTCCAAACAAATATTGTCTTTTAAATATATAATCTTAACCATAGAACTGAGAAGGTGCCTCTGGAGCTTTGGCTACAGGGCAAGCTGGGCCCTGTGTTCTTGTGATTTATGCCTCCCCCAGTTGTGCCCACTTGGGGATGCACTCCTTGAGTGCCAGTTACAGAGGTAAGTGCTCATTGGTTTCCTGTACTTAGCTTTTTGGAATCTGCATCATATAGTACTGAACTGTCAGTATATATGACTAAATGCATGGAAACAACCTTGGCAGCTATTACAACTAGACCCTAAAGTTTCTTTAGATGGCTTAGTAGGCCTCAGATTTTGCTGGGTGAAAAGCCCCACATAAATAGGTATGCATAAAAAGGTCATTAACTCACTGGTGGTGTCTGATTGGACTATCTGGGTCCCCTCGTCTTCCCTAGAACCTGATAGTGGAACTATTGTCAGGTTGGGCAAACCATTGTGTCTCTCAAAGCATCAGTTTTCTTTATGGTAAAACAGAGGTGATTATAGTGCTGCCTCCTAGAGCCATAGTGAAGGTCAAATGAGATAATTCCTGCAGTCCCTGGCACATAATAATCTCAATGAGTATTATCAAGCCTGGTGTGGTGACTTAGACCTGTAATCTTTTTATTTTTTTTAATTTATTTACTTTTATATGCACTGATGTTTTGCCTGCAAGTATGTCTGTGTGATGGTGTCAGATCTTGGAGCCACAGACACTTGTGGGTACTGGGAATAGAACCCAGGTCCTCTGGAAGAACAGTCAGTGCTCTTAACCACTGAGTCATCTCTCCAGCTCCCATACCTGTAATATAGCACTCAGAAGATGGGGTAGAAGTATTCATGAGTTCAGGACAAGGCTGGACTACAAATCAAGACTTTGTGTCCAAAAAAAAAAAAAAAAAATCATGTGCATTGCCTTAATTTATGGAACATTGTTTTTTATATAGCTATGCACGGGGTCCTCATTTGTATGTCCTTAAATTTGACCATAGTCACAATAATCATATGAGGTTGCTGTTATCTCCTGTCTTTATTAGGATTACTACTGTTGTGATGAAACACCATGACCAAAAGCAGACTGAGGAGAAAGGGTATATTTTGACATCACAGTTTGTCATTAAAGTCGGGGCAGGAACTTGGAGGCAGCAAGTGATACAGAGGCCATGGAGGGGTGCTGCTTACTGACTGGCTTCCATGGCTTGCTCCTCCATCAATCACACTAATTTAGAAAATGCCCGAAGGCTTGCCGACAGCTCAATCTCAAGACGGAGGCATGTTCTTAATTGAGGTTCTCTCCTCTCAGATGTGTCGCCTTGACATG